ACACCAAGCATCGATACATGAAGAATTTTAGCGCAGAACAGTTTAAATCTACACTCAAGGAAACCCCATTGGAGTCAGTGTTTATTTTTGACGATATCGATGATATACTCTCTTTGTGGGAATTGTTGTTTAATACGGCATTGGACTTGGCGGGTCAAAAGAGTAGCGGAAGCCAAAAAACCGCCTTGGCTGTATAGTTCTGTTGCCAAGCAGCTGAGGGAGCGGGATAGGCCTTTAAAGATAGCTAAAAAAATAGCAAAATCCTGCCGACTGGGAAGGATATAAAGCAGCTCGGAATAACGCAGTTTCAGTATTGAGAAGAGCTAAATCCCAATTCTTCAAAACCACCCTTGAACATAATAAGAACAATCGTAAGGGAATTTGGAGGACTATCAAGTCGCTCATCGGTGTCAATAAACAACAATCATGCAATTCATCGTTTGAGAACCGATGGGCATAATATTATAAATAATAAAGAAATGGCTAAAGCATTTAATACTCACTTCTCAACGTACAATTGCAGGCAAGCTGAGGAATTTGTTACCTGACATGCCGTTTGACACCGCTAAGCTGAGTAACTATCATGTAAGATCGCGGAAGGACAAAAGCGTTATCTTCTTGATTCCATCAATAACGTTTAACGGCTCATCCTCGGTGTAAAAACCTGTGAAGCTCGCGAGTGACGTAAAACAAAGACAACAAAATATTATAAACAATAGCGCACAGCAAAACAATACCTCGTGAAACGAAGAAAACCTCGTCAGGTTTTTACACCGAGGATGACCCCGTTTAACAGAAAGAGACGTTGTTAGTTACCTCTTAAAAATCGATTCGAACAAATCTACTGGCATTGACGATATCAGTTCTCGAATGCTCAAATTGGCTGCTCCATTTGTTGCACCTTCAATTGCAAAGTTGATCAACCTTTCTTTTTCTTAAAAGTGTTTCCCAGTCGCTGGAAAACTGCCAAGGCGGTGACACCGATTTTCAAGAGTGGAGACCCTACTGACGTTACAAACTATCGTCCAATACCTGTTTTGCCCATACTATCTAAGATTGCTGAGAGACATGTTCACAACGCACTTTACAGCTTTCTGTCTGAAAATGACTTAATTCATACTAGATAATCAGGCTTTCGTCCAAGACATAGCACAGAAACTGTCTTACTCAAGGTCATCGACGATCTCCTATTCAACCTCGATAATGACTGTGTTAGTGGGATGGTCCTGATAGATCATGATCGTAAAGCCTTCGACATGATAGATCATAATAATTTGGATATAT